AAGATTTGTCCGGACACACACACCCACACACAGTCGTTTTCTGCTATGCTTCCGAGGATTTGCTTTGTGTTTTCCTTTGTTCCCTGATCTAAACCTTTCCCATAGACTTAGTGCACAAACCTGCGTTCGAGGACAATAGGCACCGTCGTTCGAGGATGAATGGCCCCTTTGTGCTCCTTTTTTTGTCTGTCCTCGAGCGTAATACAATACAGGAACACACCCACCCACCCACACACACACCCACACACCCACCCAACCACCCACGGAAGGACAAGGCGGAAACAGTATGCCCCTTCGGCTTCGCCGCGGGGCATAAAAACTGTACATGTACTTACATGTTTATCTCTCTTGTCTAGCATGTCTGTTTCATTGTTGTGTCTTTGAACATTGTATTAAAAAAAAAACAGTTGTCGTTATTTTTAAAAATACTGTAAGTGAGACTTGCGAATCCCCCTGGCATGCTGGCAGTTTTATAAAGTCAGTGTCCCTAACCAAAATGGAAGATTTCTATTGTTTTAACAATAGTGACCTTGACCTTTGACCTGTCGGCCCCAAAAGCAACAGGCTTCTTAAGACTCTCAAGAACAACCCACAAACTAAATTTCAAGTTCCTAAGTAAAGTATTTCTCAAATATTGCATTGACAAGATTTCTATTGTTTTAGCAAGAGTGACCTTGACCTTTGACCTGTCGGCCCCAAAAGCAAAAGGCTTCTTAAACATGTTAAAGGGAATGTAAAACATTTGCTTTTGCTGCATTTTTTAGAAAAAAATGGATTTGGAGGATTAGTATGTTATAGCGAATATATTGTTTAACTGACTTGTTTCACGTTTTAGGCTTGTATGGGTCCCATGCCCGCCAACGAAAGAGGGCAGCTTTTCACCTAGCAATGACTTCCCATGGGCGGGACATTTCACCGGTTGACGCGCACTGTTCCTTGTGTGTGGATGCACATACACCAGGGAATTCAGTTGTACTACATGTATGTACACGCAGTGCTAGTGGTGGCCACGCATCGCAGCAAAATTGCAGTCAGACTGTCACCCCCAACTGTACTTTCTTTGCCGGTGAGGGGGTACTTGTGAACAGGGCGGATATGCTGGAAAAAAACAAGAAAACCAATCATGTTCTTGTAGTCTTGTACATGTAGTCTGGTTCCCTGACCCAACTTAAGATGAAACGAAGAAATGTAAAGACTTTGGGGTAATGTAAGGTCAAAGAATCACTCTAGCAGGTTTGTACCCCTTCACATGTGTGTAATCAATTGCAAAGAAAAAACAGCATAACTAAATATGAAAAATTTGGAGCAGTTTTTGAAAAAGCCAGTTTTGCCAACGCTGGTCGGCCGACCAACATTGGAAAAATACAGGTTTTCTTGAAAATGTCAGCACACCAGGAGCCACGATTACACAGGATGCTTTAAGCCCGCCTCAGGTCAACCCGCGATTTGCTTGCGCCACGACGGAACCGTCGGCATCAAGCAGAAAAATAATGCTCAGGTCACAAAACTGAGAAATCGTGTGATTCTCTTGAACAAGCGGCATCCCGACGCAAAATAATCTCAACCATGCTCATGTTACCCACAACGTGACGATCCACCATGATTCCACATCATAGACAGTCATGTGACTTATACATTTTCAATGATTTTGTTGAACACTCTCATTTCATTTTTTAAACACCCCTCTAGCTATGGTATGGAATATCCTCTCGCGAGCAGGTAAACAATCTCCTTATATGGTGATTGATGCGCGCGCATGCGCACTGCGTGATTGACGCGCGGAGCGCCAGTGTAGGGTGCTGATTGGCTAAACAATTGAAAATGATTGCAATTTTTTTACTCTTGCGACTTGATTTTTTTTAGCGCCGACTTATTCCGATCATCTTAATATCGTCACAGTTATACTCGGATCGCAAAAAATCGGCAACTGAAATGTTCCCGACGGTCATAGCTCAGGCACAGCCTGATCCTGAAAAGTCAGTCGCCGACTGATCTGTGTCGTCACAAGGTCGACCTGAGGCCGGCTTTAGACTGTCAATCCCTAACTATTCAGTAAGGTATTGCATGATAATTTGATCATTTCTTTTTTTTATGTTTGCAAATGTTGTATCTTCCCTTTAAGACTACCAATTACAACCCACAAACCAAATTTCAAGTTCCTCAGTAAAATATTTCTCAAGTTATCGCGTTGACAAGATTTCTTTTGTTTTAGGGATAGTGAGAGGGGGAATCACTGTGTGGACGAGGGCAAGTCCACACGTCGCTGCTACCTGGTTTATGTGGCCCTTTTTTGTTGGAAGTCCACACAGTGAATGTACATGTGTGTGTAATGCTTGTACACACCCATACACGGACACACAGAAGGCATACGCGATCGCAATATCCCCGTCCTGCGTGAAGCCAGGGCAATAAAAATTTAAAAAAATTTGAGAACCATCTTTCAAAATCATTGTCTCAGAATATTTGTCATTATTATTATTAGTTTGTGTAGGATATACAGCAAAGACGTAAATACTGGTAAGAGCCTGGTTTGGCCACATCTACCGCAAGTGTTTTACCGCCCCGAAAAATCTTGTGCTCACTATAAATACATATTTGCACATAGACTGGTCTTTACAAAACTGGAAGATATATTTTCAGTGTACGTGTTTTTTCTGTTTAAATGTATTTATTCCAAGCATTACAACTTGGATTCGTAATGTTTAAGTAGCGCCGGTGGCGCATCACGTGGCTGCATTTCGCAATGATATTTCGGATCATCCATTGATACCGTTGTGTTGGGGGTGTTTTACCCTTTTTGTTTTAGTTTTACATCATTTCTTGAATAGATTCTTTTAAAAAAAATATATTGTGATGGTGAAGAACTTCGTTTTGAACAAGGGAATGTTTCGGACTTCATAAAGATTAATATTTTTAATTTTAAAACGGTGGAAAAATGCTGGTAAATTGTTCTTAAAAAAGAACATGGTACACCCCCAGACTGGGACCTTAAGTGCTCAAAATGATGCAAAAGAAGATCAGGCCAACTTTACTCACTGTTTAGCAAATCAAAGTTCCTGTGATTGGTCTGTCTGATGCTTGCCAGGAAACAGTCTAGCCAGAGCCATGCACATGTCTACTTTTCCTGAATTCAAAATGGCAGCCTTCAAACAAGGCATTTGTGACAAGGATGTTTCCCAAATTGAAGGTGAAATTTCTCTTTTCTTCCCAAAGGTATGTAAACATAAACCTAATCACCACCATTTGTAGACCCGTGAACGTGGCATTGTATACAAAGCCACGCTGTTGTGTCATTTCGAACCTGACAATACATAATTTTGTATACATGTTAAGTACTCACCTAGAAATCTAAATTTGCCTTCCCGCGTGTTCAGGATGTGTCATTTCGATGAAATTTTCGGAGCCCTCCGAGCTACCTGTCTGCTTCATGTGGCGCACATGATAGGCGGCGTCAGATTGGCCAATCACGACACCATGTGATAAACGCAGCTAATATGTTGGAATCGCACTTATGATCCGGACATAAGGAATGCCCGGAGCGTCAGTGCGATACCAAATTGTCCGCAGCATTTATCACATGGTAAATCACATGCATCAGGAGGAGGTTGCAGGACGTCGAGATCTTGCCAGATTTTACCTCGAATTTCCTTTAAATGCCAGATTTGGCGTAAAAGCAGATTTCAACATGTTTAAGAAAGCTTGATATGTGAGTACTTATCACACTGTAAAGCAATGTTCAGTTTTCGCTTGGTTCGAAATGGTACAAGAGTGTGGCGTTGTTTACAAGCCACGTTCACGGGTCTACACAAGTTTGAAGACTGTTTTGGGGGTGAAATCTAAAGATTATGATTGGGGGTAGGCCTACGAGTGAAAATGGTCACAAAACATGTTAGTAACACAATATGGCATGTAGGCCTACCTAGGACTCTACTAGTACTAACTATTGCCCGACCATGTCCAAATGTTAAAAAAGGCGATTCGTAGAGTCCTAGTTACTTGGACTATAGTATTTAGCAGTTTAGTATTGTACCACTACTGTACTAGCCCCATAAATGTGGCCAATTTACTGGACTACCTCCGTAAACATAGGCCACACATCCACCGTGTACAAAAACATGTCGAACTTTGTCAAATTTTGATTTTCACACTTAGGCTTAATTTGTAGGGTTTTTTGCTTAAGAAGCATACTCACCCAATTATAGGCCAATCAGAAAGTGCTGCCTTTTTCAGAATCAGATGTCTATTTTTCGTGAAATTTCCAGATTCGTTTGCACACGTTTGCGTATCAAAATTTCAACATGAAATTTCATAAAAATTAGACATCCGGAAAAGGCAGCACTTTTTGATTAGCCTATTATCCTATAGTATAAAGAGGGTGAGTATGCTTCTCAAGCAAAAAAAACTACAAACTAAACCTAAATAAATGTGAAAATCAAAATTTAAAGTTCGACATGTTTTTGTACATGGTGGAACTGGAAGTGTGGCCTATGTTTACGGAGGTAGTCCAGTAAATTGGCTACATTTATGGGGCTATGGAGGTATGCTAGTACTAACTTAGCCCCATAAATGTGGCCTATTTACTGGACTGCCTCCGTAAACATAGGCCACACATCCACATGTACAAAAATTGTGTCGACTTTGCCAATCAGAAAGTGCTGCCTTTTTCAGATGTATATTTTTCGTGAAATTTCCAGATTCATTTTTACACGTTTGCGTATCAGAATTTCAACATGAAATTTCACAAAAATTAGACATCTGAAAAAGGCAGCACTTTCTGACTAGCCTATAATGAGGGTGAGTATGCTTCTAAAGCAAAAAAATCCTACAAACTAAGCCTAAATGTGAAAATCAAAATTTGGCAAAGTCGACACGATTTTTGTACATGTGGATGTGTGGCCTATGTTTACGGAGGCAGTCCAGTAAATAGGCCACATTTATGGGGCTAGTACTAACTAGGCCTAGTAGTAGTACTTTAAGTCTTTATTTTTAGTAAAGTTCACCCTCGGCCTCTCCGATGTCATTGGCGCAAACCGCACGTTGAAGCTGTCTGCTAACACCACAGCCTGCAGAATGTCTTCTTGCTGCAATATGCTGTCGCCTTTCCCTTTATTCTTCTTCGTATTTCCAGCCATGGCGACTTGCTATTTTTCAGTAGTCCGCCTATATTATAGGCTAAATAATCCTAAGGTTTTTGGGTATTATTGTCACACTTCTCTTTCCAGGTAAATTGACATGGTTACCGTACAGTCTTGGTGTGTTGCATGCTTGTCTCTGTTGTGCGCTTTCTTGAAAATCACGCATTCTTAAGAATACGCATACACATTCTTATGATTGCGCAACTGGATCCTTGCGCAATCTTCGCAAAAATAACTTTTCCAGATTGAGCGCACATTCTTAAGAATGCGCGACAAGATAACGGTCTTGTCGATGCCAAGCACCGGCTGCGCTTGGCAAGTCTAGCTGCATCCTCGTTCACTGATGCTTAATAATTATACTGTTGCAACGCAAGGTCACTTACTTAACGCTGAAAAGTAGAGTGGATATGAAAGTATACGCGTATTGGGGGGGGGGGGACGGGAAAAAATAAGAGACATAATAATAGTGTATTGGAAAGAATTCTGATTTTTGGGATAATAAAAGCGGGGGGGGGGGGGGGGGGGGAAACGTAAGAATGAAGAATGTGAAGAATGAGATAGCCTTGGTCAAGGCGCTAGTTGTTATTCATCCCGGCCGTAGCGCGGTAAACGATATCCTTGCTAGCGCTATGCATGTGGTGCATTAAAAATAAAGCGCGAACAGCGACCTCACGCGGCCACCATTCTATGCAAATCAGTTGGATCCAATCTGGCGCCTTGGTTCAATCGTCGGCAAGCGTCTTTATTTTTCGCTGGATTTCTAGCGCACGACCTCGTATGCGAATACAGATAAGTGTAGGCGGGGCTAATATGTGGAGTGTCCAATCACACCTTGGTAAATCCGGACGTCATCAAAATATTTGCAGCTATTCGCCTTTTGCGGACGTGACAGGAAGACAGGAACCACAGTTTTTGTGCATTGGTGCCGTGTGCAGAGACACACAACGTGTATGTGTATGGATTATGTATGGTGCCACGTTTCACTATGCAAGTTTCCATGCAACGATCGACCAATAATAAACGACATTTAAGGTCAGCTAAGGCTATTAACATAATGAGCACCACCCCCAAAACCTCAAATGGACGATTGAACCAATTAGGCGCTAGATTGGGTCCAACTGATCTGCATAAAAATAGTGGCCGCGAGAGGTCGATGTTCGCGCTGTATTTTTAATGCACTGCATGCATAGACATATGACTGCATGCATAGCGCTAGCGAAGATATCGTTTACCGCGTTACGGCCGGATGAATAACAACTAGCGCCTTGACCAGCCTTGACCAAGGCTAAAATGGGAATGAATACTGTGACATCCCATCCCATAACGCTAATGCTATTTCCCATTTAAATTGCCACCAATTAATTGTTCACACCCACCCCCAACATTACGCTGCAGAGCTGGATTCTATCTTGTCAAAGGAGCAATTTTGGCAACTTCTGGATATCGGGGGGTTTTCGTGGCATGCATATGATACATATACAGGGACTTGTAACTTGTCTAGCCTAAACAAAGCACTTCCCAGACTAGTTCCCAGTCCTCCGGGGAAAAAAAAGGAGTCGGATTTTTATGTGACACCGGCCCTAACGTAACCTTTTCGCTGTGAGTGTGATAACAGTTTACAAATAACGAATGTTTGTGAGTGCGACGGTAAGAATAATTTCATGAGGTGACAGATTGAATGTTCTATTCCACGAGGCGAAGCCGAGTGGAATAGAACATTCAATCTGTCACCGAATGAAATTATTCTTACCATCGCACGAACGTAAAACATTCGTTATTTGTTTTATACAACACCAGAATAAATTCTCGTCATTTGATTGGTAAATTATAAACTACAATTTATTTTGATTTTAAAGATGTTGAACTACCCCTTCACGAAACTGTTTGAACCCAACGCTGTAGCGCTGGCTCTTTGGAACAATACGCGCTACGCTGAACGCGAACACCAGCATGCATTTTGCACGCAAATACCGCGTCATGGAACAAGCGCAAAGTGAAACGGTATAACGCATGGGTATAACGCATGGTCGCACCGTGCATTTATACCGAATAATAATATGTCACGTGATCTACAATTCACCAATCAGATGACGGGGATTTATTCAGGTGTTGTATAATACTGTATACAGCTGTCGAGCGCAATTTTGAGTCCCCACGCAAGTTTTAACTTGCGCGAGGGACTCCCGAAGCACGCAAATTACACCGCGCCATTTTAATTTGCGTGCGCACGTTACAACTTGCGCAAAGGCGATCGCAATTTTGAGAACCTTGCGGGCGGGATTTTCATTGATGAAGAAAAAAAATGTTCAAAACACGAGTACATGGAGAAATAAATTAATAAATAATGGAATAAATTAATGAACAAAAAAATAAATAAAGAGGGGAATTGAAAAGAAACATTGAGATTTAGCAGTGCTTATCAGAGAAGTTTTCTGAGGGCGCGGGGTCGGGGAGGGGACCAGGCAAGCAATCAATAAGCACGCCAATTGCTTGGAAAGTGTACTGAAGTTCAAGTGTTCAATAATGGAGACCAGCTTCAAGTTTTTTTGCCTTGTAAAACTAATTAGCCTTTTATTGATATTCTTTGATTGAAATAAATCATAATTTCTTAGGGGTAACCCGTTGTTAACGTAAAAAGAATGATTATGATACCTTCAATTGTTTTTATGATTATGATACCTTCAAGTTTTGACGTACGTTATAGTAATCATTTACATTATTTTTTAAATGCTTTAATTTACATGTACTGTGACAATTAAAAAAGAACTTATTCTAAAAAAATTACTAATTTAATTAATTTAGCAATTAATTGGACGGTATTCATTTTGTTTTTAAGAATACTTTGCATAACGTTTCGAGCGCTGTGTACACTTAAAAAATGCATAATTTAAAAAATAATGAACTCATTACTAATTTAATTAATTAATTTAATTTGTTACTTCAACAACTATTTCATTTTCAGGCTCAATAATTCATATTAATGTTTACATGCTTTAACTTAAAAACGCTATGCACATAAAATGGTAATTATTTTAAAAAGTAAATAAACTTATTAATGATTTAATTAATTTATTCAAATTATTAATTTAATTAATTAATTCGAATAAATGAATAAATATGTTGTGTATTAAACAAAAATCCTAATGAGCCATAAACAACAATACACATCATGATGAAAATTAAGTGCATAAATTGTTCGCATTACCATGGTAATGCGAACAATTTATACCACCCCTTATCTCTGATCCTCTACACAGTCAACCTCATTAGTTAATAAAAAGTTTTTAAAAAGGCATTGTCTCACGAAGCACAGTGGTGCTATTAATCGGAGAAAAATCTACTTGAAAAATAATGTTATTATCTGCTTGAGTTTACCAGGAAAAAAAAATAGTTTAGCGGCTTTGCATGCATGGGGAAAATCTATGTAGCGCGCAAGTTTAAACTTGCGTGCGCGCAGGTTTAAACTTGCTCGCGCAAGTTTAAACTTGCGCGGGGACTCAAATTGCGCTCGACAGCTAATTCGCAGCTAGTACACCCTAGCACTATAGCAGCAGGGTAATGGCAGATCGTAACCCCAAACTTACTCCTCCATGCCCCAACATGCCCAACAACTTATCAACTGGATCCCGCAATGGCTTAGTGGTATTACTGTATGTCATATATTCATGTGCAATACATGTGTGTGGACAAGGTGAGTTAGGCCCTATGCCTGGCTAAACATGCTAAATATGTCATGATCAAGTGATGATTGTTTTAATTTTTGTAGGCAGTGGATATTTTGCCGGAGACGGCAAGCCTTTAGTAAACGTTAGTTTGCCGGATATGCACTGAACATGCGCAGCTCAGTTACTGTTTTTTTGTACTTAAAACATTTTCCGGCGACAAATTTTAGTCTGGCTCCATGCCAGTATTATCGATGTAACCTCGTATTCCATGTATTCACAAGATGGGATTCAGACCATTTTATAATTTCGTACTTTATTTCCCTTTTAAAAAAAATCCTCCAGAGCCACAGATCTGAAAAAGAAAATGTTAACTCTGCAATAAAATGTTTGAGACATGTTAAAATAATAAAAGAAGAATATTCTTATTTATTTGGGGATGGGAAAAAAAACTTTGAAATGTGATGTGGCGGGGATCGGGAAAACCCGAGTCATCCCGCTCACTAGAGGTTTTGCTTAACCACTACACCATTATCTGATAATTCAGCCCTATCTTAAAGAGTACAGCGCCCTCTGTTGATATGGATTGCCGTCGGCAAACCTTTAGTAAACGTTAGTTTGCCGTCGTTACCTCCGGCAAAATATCCACTATCTTTATTGTATGGCAGTGGATATTTCGCCGGAGACGGCAAACCTTTAGTAAACGTCAGTTTGCCGGATATGCACTGAACATGCGCAGTTATTTTTTTTTTGTACTTAAACATTTTCCGGTGACAAATTTTAGTCTGGCTCCACGCCAATATTATCGTTGTAACCTCGTATTCACATTCACAAGATGGGATTCAGACTAGTCCGAGTAACTTGGACCCAACTTATCGCCTTTTTTAACATTTGGACATGGTCTGGCGATAGTAAGGTCCAAGCTAATACCGAGACCTAGACAACACAGTCCCAAAAACCAACATTTTCCAACAAAAAACATCAGATTTCACCTTCAAAACGGCCTCCAAATTACTAGATATGCCACCTGAGGTACAAGTAGACATCGATAATTAAGATGGTTGTACTGAAGTTTACTTACGATCCGGAAAAAAGTGAAATTTTCCGTTCAATTCTGAAGACCCCCTCTGCCTAGGTTGTCGTTGTTGTGCTCACGTTCAAAACTGCATGATAATGGCGTCTGACCTCGACCTCATGCAAATGTCGTGACGGCGCGCTTGCGCATAATGCACTGCATGCACGGCAGATTCCCCTGCGCCGCGCCGACGACTGTTTCCTGATGTAGAGTGCTATGTAAGTTCGCGGCACGCCTAGGAGTCGCGCTGGCTAGCCAGGCGCATGGCTGGCGCTCTACATCAGGAAACAGTCGTCGGCGCGGCGCAGGGGAATCTGCCGTGCATGCAGTGCATTATGCGCAAGCGCGCCGTCCAGACATTTGCATGAGGTCGAGGTCAGACGCCATTATCATGCAGTTTTGAACGTGAGCACAACAACGACAACCTTGGCAGAGGGGGTCTTCAGAATTGAACGGAAAATTTCACTTTTTTCCGGATCGTAAGTAAACTTCAGTACAACCATCTTAATTATCGATGTCTACTTGTACCTCAGGTGGCATATCTAGTAATTTGGAGGCCGTTTTGAAGGTGAAATCTGATGTTTTTTGTTGGAAAATGTTGGTTTTTGGGACTGTGTTGTCTAGGTCTCGGTATTAGCTTGGACCTTACTATCGCCAGACCATGTCCAAATGTTAAAAAAGGCGATAAGTTGGGTCCAAGTTACTCGGACTAGATTCAGACCATTTTATAATTTCGGACTTTATTTCCCTTTTAAAAAAAATCCTCCAGAGCCACAAATCTGAAAAAGAAAATGTAATACTCTGCAATAAAATGTTTGAGACATATTAAAATAATAAAAGAAGAATATTCTTATTTTTTGGGGATGGGAAAAAAACCTTAAAAACGTGGCGGCAATCGGATTCGAACTCGAGTCATCCCGCTCATTAGAGCTTTCGCTTAACCACTACACCAAACGTGCTACACAACTTTTTGTGGGAATTTAATACCTCTTATAATTCAGCCCTATCTTAAAGAGTACAGCGCCCTCTGTTGATATGGATTGCCGCCGGCAAACCTTTAGTAAACGTTAGTTTGCCGTCATTACCTCCGGCAAAATATCCACTATCTTATTGTATCGTCCGGTGCCCCAAATCCGCACTGCCCAATATACAGGGTGTATCAAAAAAGTATACACTAAGAGAAATGTATCAAAAAAGGATGTTTTATAATTTTTCAAAAATCTGTCACTAAATATTGATGGACCAAGGTCTTACGCTTCAATTGCCACCATGTCAATCTTCAGCTGTTCCGCATGAGTGAACACTCGCTATTTACTTTCACCAGATTTCAATTGGCTTGCGCACAAAAGTGAAATGGTTAAAACACAATCAAACACCGTGGTAGGGAAGTTTAGGCATGTGCTTTGTTGCTCACAAATTTTCAAGAAAATTGGATTAACTCTTAGTCCTCCACAGGCCCACCAAGTTTGGACTCAAGTTGCGCCTTCCTCAAAACATTAACAACAGCATGACCTTACAAGTCAATGATTAGGCCTAATGGTAATCGTCATGAGGGAATGCAACGTTTGCACTTCATGCATGCACGATTCAGTCTTCGACGTGGCCACCATTTCTTTGCACACAGACTTCTGCCCTCCTCAGCATGTCATAAACTGCGCACCTAATCATTGCGGCATCCTGCCTCACAACAGCAACTTCGGCAGTAACACGTTCTTGCAGGTCATCCAGGTCTCTTGGTGGAGTGGTGTACACCTTAGACTTAACATGGCCTCACAAGAAAAAGTCCAGTATGGGGTAAGATCGGGTGATCTTGGGGGCCACTCGACGGGACGGTTTAATGCGAAGAAGCGATCGCCAAACAATTCAGTCACGATCCTCCTCTTGTGCGGTGGTGCCTTATCTTGCGCCCACCAGGCATGCCTAAATTGTCCATTTCTTCTGCCAGGTCGATAATGACAAAAATCATTGACATGCTGAGGAGGGCAGAAGTCTGTGTGCAAAGAAATGGTGGCCACGTCGAAGACTGAATCGTGCATGCATGAAGTGCAAACGTTGCATTCCCTCATGACGATTACCCTTAGGCCTAATCATTGACTTGTAAGGTCATGCTGTTGTTAATGTTTTGAGGAAGGCGCAACTTGAGTCCAAACCTGGTGGGCCTGTGGAGGACTAAGGGTTAATCCAATTTTCAAGAAAATTTGTGAGCAACAAAGCACATGCCTAAACTTCCCTACCACGGTGTTTGATTGTGTTTTAACCATTTCACTTTTGTGCGCAAGCCAATTGAAATCTGGTGAAAATAAATAGCTAGTGTTCACTCATGCGGAACAGCTGAAGATTGACATGGTGGCAATTGAAGCGTGAGACCTTGGTCCATCAATATTTAGTGACAGATTTTTGAAAAAATTATAAAACATCCTTTTTTGATACATTTCTCTAAGTGTATACTTTTTTTTGATACACCCTGTATTGTTGATGGGCCTACCCTAACGTGGCGTGGTCCCCAACGTGGCGCACTTTGATTTTTCGCCTGTAGCGCCTACCTAGAGCAAAAGTTTTAACTGAAATTTCACACAAAGTGAAATTTCATCAAGTTCTAAACACTCCTGTTCATAAATCGCGAGTTTATTTACCCGTAACCAAGTTAGAAGAAAAATTTATTTTGGAGTGATTTTCCGATTTTATTTTCAAGTGCAAAGTGAACCCTTCAAAATGCCCCGAAAAATATGAAAATAATTTTCTGACAAACATCTGGCTGGGTATGTAAGTAGAGATAATAATTGTTTATCAGAATTTATCAAGTTTACAGAAATTCTTAAATGTTAATTTGGAATTTTCCGAGATTTATTTCAGTGCGCCACGTTAGGGAACACTCCGCCAATTTGTGCCCAATTTCCGGACGCCACCGTTTTTAAATTTCAGATTAAATTTTATGAAACCGAAATTGTTCACAGAGGTTAAATAGCAAGCATTAATAAGGTAAAAGTACTAGTATTTCACTGCAGTCAACAAAGACGTTTGGCAACACTACACAAGGAAAGTCGGGTAAGCTTCGAAGTGCGCCACGTTAGGGAACACGACTATAATATTCGCGCAACCAACTTTCTCGCCTCTCGGCTCGTATCTTTTTTCACACAACACGAACCGAAGTCAAATCACTGTCGTTGATCCATCATCACATCTTTTTTCAGTTCTGTGCTGTGTGGAAGAGGGTGGACGTGTTACAATGTATGTCTTGAGCTCGGGATTTTCGCTTGAATTTTAACTTTTTTATTATGTTTTTAGCATCAATTTTTGTCATTCTTCGTGGATTTTGATCGTTTTTACATTGCTTATCCAGCGTATCCACATTTTTAATAACCTTGGAGGACTCTTCAACGAGTTTTTACCATTTTTTAAACCGTCTTTTGTGATCCTGCCGTGAGACATTTTAAAGATGGCTGCCGCTGTTCGTGCCACATGTACAAAAAATAGACAGCCGAGTGGATTTTTAACGACAATTTTTGTGGGATTTTACTTCTGTGTACTAATTCCATGCACTACCAACAATGACCAAGAGGGATTGTACTTGACTAAACATACTCAAGGATATCAAGACCATGAAGGTGGGCCCTATTTTTGTATTTCTTGCCATTCTTGACTTGTGGAAGACTTCAGCAACTGAACAACCCTGACTGTATAAACTTGAACAATACAGTTTTTCGCATTGCTGCTGATGTTCATCTTAGAATGTTGATAAACTGTGGCCTAAATTACCACCCATGCAGACGTATTACTGCCAGATACAGTGAAGCTTTTGTAATCACACCAGACTACATTCTGGGAACTATTATACTCAACCCTTCATCAAAGAATTTAGCCATGATTTGTAAACTTGCTATTGTGGCTCAAACATATGCCACGTTGTCACTAGCGGGAGACATTTATCCTAATCCTGGGCCTTACAAGCCAAAGTACCCCTGCAGAATCTGTCAAAAGGCGGCAAAGTGGGGCCAGGAAGCTCTTGCCTGCGACACGTGTAACTGTTGGTATCACAAGCTGTGTATTGACATGAGTGATGAGGTGTACAAAGTCCTTCAAGAACATCCATCTTATTCTTGGACATGCTACCAATGTGGCATCCCAAATATCAGTCCTGGTATTTTTTGGTCTTCTCATAGTTTCATCCATGAAAATTCCTTTTCATCGAGTGCCCAAGTGACAATGGAACTGACTCTGATTCGAATTTCAGTCTTGAGAGTGATATCTCCTCCCCTCATATGACTTCGTCACCATTTGCCAACAAGAGAAGAGATACACATAGATCTAAGCCTACCAAAGCCAAGAAAAGAAATTCCGATGCTGATGTAGACGAGGGTTGTAAGACCCGTAAGATAGGACACGTGAAACTCTTAATTTAACCCTAACCCACCTCACTCCTCCAAAATCCTCCTGGCGGTTTTGGAGGATTCTAGAGGATTGAGGATGAATGGTGATTGAATCAAATGAGGATTCTGGAGGATTGAGGATGAATGGCGATTGAAGCACATGAGGATTTTGGAGGATTGAGGATGAATGGTGAATGAAGCACAAGAGGATTTTGGAGGATTGAGGATGAATGCATTTTGAGGCAGAACTGTCTGATGATTTTGAAGGATTTGGCGTTGGTTATCCTTCATTTAAACACAAGTGCAAAGCTTTGGGATGAGGAGGATTTTGGAGGATTGAGGATGAATGCATTTTGAGGCAGGACTGTCTGACAATTTTGAAAAATTTAGGCGGAGTTGAAACATTTTGGAGGATTGAGGATGGTTGTAAGCAACAAGGGCCTAGGGGGTTAGGGTTGTGAACTTTCAAAGCCTTTGGGGAAAGAAAGATGCAGTTGCAGAGAAAGTCACCAGTGAGAACCCTCACATAGTTCTTGGTACAGAGACATGGCTCAGCGATCAGATAGCTTGGTTTGTGTACTTTCCAAAAAAAATGTATTACTTGTGGAAAATGTACTTTGAAAATTCATGAGTTCGCAACTCTTTTTCCGGAATTAACCTACAGCAAAGGAGACTACAGCAAGTTAAAACAAGACATTCAGAAAGTGGAGTGGGAGAAAGAGATGGAGGATCCTGACTGCGAGGAGTCATGGAGTTTTCTCAAAGTATACAACCGGGCTGTAGAAGACCATGTCCCACGGAAGAAAGCAAAGAAGAGATTCAAGCCACCATGGCTATGTTCCAAAGTTAAGAAGTCAATTAAGACAAAATACAATCTGTATGAAAGGTACAGAAAATCAGAACAGTACAAAGACTATGAAGAGTACAAGAAGCAGATTAACAAGACAAGGAAAATTGTCAGACAAGAGCAAGCTAATTATGAGGAAAGACTGATGAAGGAATTTAAGAGGAAACCAAAAGCTTTCTAAAGCTACGTTGGACAGAAACAGAAGGTGAAAGTTGGAGTTTCACAACTTGAGAAAGAAGATGGATGCCTAACAGAAACAGATGATGAGATAGCTGAAGAATGTAGTATCTATGATAGCTATGTATTACCATGGCATTAGGCACCACGCACTCTGAAACCACACACACGGACTCAGACATTACCTCATCCACATTGGAATGCATGGACCCAAACTTACTAAATGAATAATGTAAGGCCCCAAATGAGGTACGATTATACCCTAGAACAGTGTAGCCCAGGGGTGGATGGACCCGTTAGCACCCCCGGCGTTGGAACGTGTCTCATTTCTTTCGAAGACAGCAGCGCGCACACATCACTAGAAAGCAAGCCCATTGTATTGTACACAACGCTGAACGCACACACACACACGGAGCTCATACACAGAACGGGGTGCGCGTAACAATAGCCCCGGCCCGGGCTGCAGGGCCCTGGCTTTACAACGTATGCAATAACACAGAGTTAGCTAGCTACAGCGTGATATCATATTACAATCGCCCAACGGCCGTGCATTGACCCACACACAGTAAGTCATCACGCCACACTGAGCCAGTCAAGTTCCTAGCTACGAACAACGCTATGGCCTACTCGCTGAGCCAGACACCTGGCTGTGACAGCGAAAAAAGCGTTTGAGATAAACCATATTCCGAACAATGCGTTTCATTCGGTCGTCTTTTTTTTTAAATTTTGTTTTATAACTTGAGACAACTCTAGACCAATAAAACTACAGTTTCTAATGCCTAACAAAAGCGTCTTCTGAAATTTTGATTCATTCTCATTCTTACTGCAGGAGAATCAACAACCAAGTATCATGCCACTTCTACACATCAAACGCAGGAAAGGCTTCCATCTAGGCCAACCTCAGAGTCCATTACTGGCATGAGTAACAGCACTTACACTTCTAACACTACACCACAGCCAACGATCCCTGTCATATCCAGCACAGCAGTACCTAGTTGTTCAAGTGGGATGAGATGTTCTGACTTGAGTGTTGACTGCCTAGACTGTGAGCTGAATTCCTTATGTATCTATGGACAAGAGGACAATGTGACTTGTGTTCCCAAAACAGGTGTAAATTGTACAGTAAGTAACATTTGCACTAGTCACACCATTCCTATTTTTTTCTTTTTTGTTAATTCTTTATTAGATAATAAGTCAATCCAATAAAATTAAAATCCCAAGTTAGCTAGATGTATGTTTGTGGACAAACAAATGGCTGTTTTGGTAATTGCTTTTCCGCTTGAAAGCGGAAAAGCATTGTTTTTGTTCAGATTTTTTTTTCTTTTTCTTCTAGTTCTATCCCAAATCCTATACAATTTGTACACGTTTTGTTCCCCGCAGCATTTTGGACCTTAAACAAACTCGTATTCTAATGAAACTTATCCCATGTAAAGACCCCATAGTGGGATCGTGTGCCAACGAGTGACGTCACGATGACTGAAACATTTTCTGTTAACAATGTTAACCACCTAAGGCCAAAAAAAAAAAGTCTCCGGTTTCTGGTATGGAGCTTGCCCCAAAAGTGGTGCGGCGACGCGGCTTTTTTTTTTTTTTTTACCTGGTTTTTTTTTTTTTTTTTTTGCTTCAAATGTCGGCTGATGACTGCAAATGGTGCCCGACTAAACTTAGTGCAAATATATGGGAGTCCAGAGAGGCCACATAAGGGTCATTCCATGTCAGACCAACGCACTTTTTTACCTCATGTCTTCCGATTTTGATTAAAATTGCTGTGCTTGTAGGTCCTAATGAGCAATGAATACACACCAATTTTTAGCCCGATCCGACCTACCATGTGGTCAGGGCAGAAGCCACAAAAAATGGCATTTTTAGAGTAAAATACCACCCTTTTGGTATAAATATGTCAAAACTATGGCAATTTTCATCGAATATATGTGGATTTGGTATTAAAATAATGAGGATTGCATGCTCAAAGCACTTCTTTTGTCAAAATTATATTTTGTGAAAAGTAGGTCATGTGACCTTTAATATGCTATCGTGACCTTTGACCAAATTTTTGTAATAATGTATCATTCCGAAAATCAACAAAATCAAAATAACTTGCTAGAGCATGTCTTCCTCTATCAGAATCTACTAAAAATCAGTTGGGGTCTTCAAAATTTACAACTTTATGACTACTTTTGTACAGTTGGTAGGTTACAAATGAGTCAATTTATAGACTTTACATAAGAAATACACCAACACAACTTACTATTCTGTTTCTTAAGTTACTAAAATTAATCTAGATTTTTATGTATAAAGTACAAAGCCAGGAAAAACAAAATTCTACCTTCTGATTCCAAAGAAACTGTCTAATCAGAATATCTGGACTCGGAAGTGTGCTAACCACTAACAGTTACCAGGCCTTCACCCAGTACAGCGGACTCACGTCCAGGTGAAATTCATCTCAAAGAAACAAAATGCCAAGTCTGTGAGAGTCATTAAAGTTCAAGAAGCACAGTGATGAATGAGTAAAGGTAACTTTGATTGTAATATTAAGTATATCTTCAAGCAAACTTGAATCCTAGACCCTGATTAGTCCATCTATAGCAACAACTGTGTGATTTTAATATTGCACAGCTATATTGCACCCCAGATATTAGAAATGTACGTGTACATATGTTGTGTTATTTCCTGCAGAACGGACCAAAACAGTACATGTATGCACGTACATATCATCCTCACCGCGTGTACGCATTTGATATCAAGTTTGCTTGAAGATAAATTGGTTATAAATCCCACTTGCACTCGTGGAACACGGAATTATGTAGTGCATCGAGTGGCATATGGGTCACAGCAGCATTGCATTATTTCATATTCCAAGCGCGTTCGTGGGATAACTAATTATCAGTGGCACCCAGGGGGGGGGGGGGGGGGGGGCTTGAACATACCCCCAACATTGTCAATTTGTTTGTTTGATTTTAGGCTAGTTTTTGTTGGTCCAATCTTTAACAGAAATTTGAACAAAAAACGATTTATGAACCCCCCCCCCACCAAAAGCCAAATCCTGGGTGCGCCACTGCTGATAATTTACACTATGAGTCTGGTTAGACCTCATCAGCCCTCAGAATGAGAAATTCACAAACCAAGATATATTTTAGTAACTTTAGAAACAGAATAGTAAGTTGTGTTGGTGTATTTCTTATGTAAAGTCTATAAATTGACTCATTTGTAACCTACCAACTGTACAAAAATAGTCATAAAGTTGTAAATTTTGAAGACCCCAACTGATGTTTAGTAGATTCTGATAGAGGAAGACATGCTCTAGCAAGTTATTTTTATTTCGTTGATTTTCGGAATGATACATTATTACAAAAAATGGGTCAAAGGTCACGATAGCATATTAAAGGTCATGTGACCTACTTTTCACAAAATATAATTTTGACAAAAGAAGTGCTTTGAGCATGCAATCCTCATTATTTTAATAACAAATTCACATACATTGTATATTCGATGAAAATTGCCATAGTTTTGACATATTTATACCAAAAGGGTGGTATTTTACTCTAAAAATGCCATTTTTTGTGGCTTCTGCCCTGACCACATGGTAGGTCGGATCGGGCTAAAAATTGGTGTGTATTCATTGCTCATTAGGACCTACAAGCACAGCAATTTTAATCAAAATCGGAAGACATGAGGTAAAAAAGTGCGTTGGTCTGACATGGAATGACCCATAAAGCTTATTCTCGATCATAATCCCATCTCAAAACACGTTAAAATTGTGCAGCAGCAGGATTCCAGTCAAACCAGTGAGTTTGGCGGTTTTGGGATATCATCTTGTATTGAAAAAAAAACTTTTTCATTTTGCCGACGCGCATGGCTATGGCGACGCGCGCGCATACCAGAAACCGGAGACTTTTTTTTTTTGGCCTAATGGTCTATCTGATTACAAGATTGAAACATTATTGATCGTTTCGTTCTAGAGTTACAGGTGAAAGAAGAAAGTCATTTTTTCAACGAAAATCGCTTGTAATTTGACACCCGATGACGTCATAATGACGTCAGAGTAATATGCACCACTAGGGATGAGGGTCAATATATGTTGAAAGTTACAAGTTCATACCATATACCGTTGAGGAGAAAACCCGCAGAGAATTATTGACCGAAAAAAAAAAATTAATCGGAACAATAAAAGACAGTGATCGGGTTGTGCCCGACCACTCAAAAAATCAGAACAAAAAAATCAGAACAAAAGCAATGCTTTTCTGCTTTTAAAGCAATAACAAAATCAGAACAAAAAGCTTTTCCGCTTTTAAGCGGAAAAGCAGAAGAAAAAAAAAGTTTGGCGTTTGTTGTTACAAACGCATAGTGGTCGGGTAGACAACTGTTTTATGAAACACTGTCAAGTTAAATAAGTTATGAATATTTTTACGTCAGAACAAAGTATCACGAAAATTTAAACATTTCATGTACACGTACAAGTTATTCTGGTTTGATGATGTCATTAGTTCAAAAAGGGAAAGTGAATACTTATTTAGTTCGGAGAGGACACATGTTCATTATGAAGTTAAAATAACGTATGAAAATATGGACAATTTAAGTGTATGTATTACTAACACCTCACTTCGGGTTTGATGACATCACAGCATTAAAGATCCAAAGGTCAACATTGTAATGGTTATCATTATTTGGGCTTCGAACAAAGTCATAAGACAGGGATCAAATGATAGAATGAACAAATAATGATCATTTTCAAATTCTCCTTCCAGTAACTTCCGGTCTGATGACGTCATAATTTTGAAATCTTAAAATTTTGAAATCTTGTAGCTGACAACACATAACAAAGGGCAATTTGGTTAAATTTGGACGGATGGTTTTTAAATTAAAAAACAGGAAACCCCATTTGTTGTACCGCCAGAGGGCACCTTTTCAAATGATGACGTCATAATGCTGTTTTGGTGTCCTGTATTCCATTCTAAACACTTTAGTTGCTTATAGTAAAGAGCTTCCGCTTTCAAGTTGTATTACATTTGTATTGCACTTCCGGTGTCAAGCGGTTTTGTGCCCGGGAACAAGAAATGTTGCCCGAAGCATCATTTACAACCTCACGCAAAAACGAACACGATACTCTATTTAGTAAAAAAGATATAGCACAAACTATTTTGTCAAAATTTGCCCTTAAGGCCCCCCCAAAAAAGTCTCCGGTTTCTGGTATGGAGCTTGCCCAAAAAGTGGTGCGGCGACGCGGCTTTTTTTTTTTTTTACCTGTTTTTTTTTGCTTCAAATGTCGGCTGATGACTGCAAATGGTGCCCGACTAAACTTAGTGCAAATATTTGGGAGTCCAGAGAGGCCACATAAAGCTTATTCTCGATCATAACCCCATCTAAAAACACGTTAAAATTGTGCAGCAGCAGGATTCCAGTCAAACTAGTGAGTTTGGCGGTTTTGAGACATCATCTTTTATTGAGGCCACATAAAGCTTATTCTCGATCATAACCCCATCTAAAAACACGTTAAAATTGTGCAGCAGCAGGATTCCAGTCAAACTAGTGAGTTTGGCGGTTTTGAGACATCATCTTTTATTGAAAAAAAACTTTTCATTTTGCCGACGCGCATGGCTACGGCGACGCGCGCGCATACCAGAAACCGGAGACTTTTTTTTTTTGGCCTAAAGGGAAAATACAACATTTGCAAACATCAAAAAATAAAACTACCAAATCATTTTGAAATACCTTGCTGGACTGTTAGTTAATGACAGTGTATGGCATCCTGTAAAATCATGGCACCTGGTATACTGTCATTTTCAAGAAAAGTGGTATTTTTGTATCAATTTCCAACGCTGATCGGCCGATCAGCGTTGGAAAACACTGGCTTTTTTTCAAATACTGGCCCCAGTTGACCATCGCACTTGTTTGCAATCGATTACACACCTATGAACGGGTACAAGCTAGCTAGACTGGTTCATTGACCTTACAATTCCCCAATATATGTAAACTGCTCTGTTTCTTCTTAAATGGAGTCAGGGAACCAGACTACAGGAAAATGATTGTTTTTCTTGGTTTTTATAGCATTATCGAACCCAAAACCTCAAAAAAAGTCAGTGTAACTATATTTGCTATATATTTCCAACCCCCCAATTCCATCC